ATTTTGGGGCAGTTTTCTGGGAGAATTTTAGGAGATTTTTTGGGGGGGATTTCTGGGGATTTTGAGTGGTTTTCTGGGAGAATTTTAGGGGAATTTTTTGGCTTTTTTTTAATCTTTACGTCATTTTGGGGGGCTTTATTTTTGATTTTTGGTGACTTCTTGGAATTTTTTTTTGAGTGTTGGGAATTGTCCCAGGAAAGGGATTTGGGGCTCCCTGTTCCTCTCCTTTTCCCCTAAAATTTTTAGGATTTTCCTACAAACCCCTCAGAAACCCCAAAATCGGGGAATTTGGGATTTCCCACGGTGACCCCACAGATCCAGGGGGACACATTTGGGGTCATGGCCACCCCCAAAACCCCAAAACCCCAAATCTGTGGGTTTTCCACCATTTTTCCAGTTTATTCCCAGTTCATTCCCAGTTTATTCCTAGTTCATTCCCAGTTCATTCCTGAGCTCGGGAGAATTTTTAGGATTTCTTCTGTTGGCGACCTGGGGGGAGAAAAAATGGGAGGGGGGGGTCAGGGGTGGGACCCCAAATCCTGCCCCAGGGGACATTTGGGGACATTCAGGAGCTCCTTCCAAGGTGGGCTCAGCTCTGGGACCCTCAATTTCCCCCAGGTGACACTTGGGGACCCTTGGGAACATTTGGGAACCCTTGGGGACCCTTGGGGACACTCCCGGATCTCCTTTTAAGGTGGGACAGCCCAGGTTCCCCCCCTTGGGGACCCTTGGGGACATTGGGGCCCTTGGGGACATTGGGGACACATTTGGGGACATTGGGGACCCCTGGGGACATTTGGGATCCCTTGGGGACACATTTGGGGACCCTTGGTGGCCCTGGGGACACATTTGGTGGCCCAGGTGGCCCTGGGGACACTGACGGAGCTCGTTGTTGCGGGTGAGGGCGGCGGCGGCGCGCGCCCGCGGGCCCTGCAGGGTGAAGGTGTAACCGAGGCGCAGCAGGGACGGGCACTGCTCCAGCGTGGCTGCCATGGCCATCTCCACCGTGTCCCCAAGGCGCTGGCTCTGCACGGGGGACATTGTCACTGTCACTGCCACTGCCAGTGTCACTGTCACATCCCCCCAGTGTCCCCCAGCATGGCCACCATGCCCATCTCCACCTTGTCCCCGAGCCATTGGCACTGCAGCACTGGGGACAGTCAGGTCATTGTCACCTCCTCTGGTGTCCCCACTGTCCCTGCTGTCCCTGTCCCCGCTGTCCCTGTCCCCGCTGTCCCCGCTGTCCCTGTTGTCCCTGTCCCTGCTGTCCCCGTCCCTGTCCCCGCTGTCCCTGTCCCCATTGTCACCTGGTTGTCCACTCTCAGCTCGCTCAGGCTCTGGTTGTGCCCCATGGCCGCCAGCAGCCGCAGCATCCCCGCGCTGCTGATGAAATTGGACTCGAGGTTGAGGCTCTGGAGGCTCCGGTTCTGCTCCAGCATCTCGGCCACGGCCTGGGGACACCGCAGTGGCACCATGGGGACACCACCCTTGGTGTCCTGGGGATGGGGGGCCAGGCACGGGGTGGGGACTGTCCCCAAACTGTTTGGGGACATGAGGGACACGGGGCAGGGAATGCCCCCAGCCCACGTGGGGACACTTTGGGGACATTTGGGGACTCACGTTGGCCACCAGGTCGTTGCTGCGTGTGGCCACCAGGCTGAGGCTGCGCACGTGGGTGTTGGTCTTGATGGCCTGGCAGATGGCCTCGAGCGTGGGGACAGGGATGTCCTGGGGACAGTTGGGGACAGCAGGGTCACCGAGGGGCTGGGGTGGGACCTGCCACCTTGGGGACACCCTGGGGACAGGAATCACCCCCCTGAGGACACCTTGGGGACACCTCAAGGTGGCCCACGTCCCCCCGGGGAGCCTTGGGGACGCGTTGGGGACAGTGCCAGCGCGGTGTCACCTTGATGTTGTTGAGGTTGACGTCCTGCAGCTCGGGGTCGTTGTCCTGCAGCCGCTGCAGCGTCTCGGCCACGTCCGTGGGGTTCGGGGGCTCGTCCGGCACCGGGCGGTACCGGTCCGGCTGCACCACGCCTGGGACATGGGGACACCGTGGGGACACCACAGGGACACCACAGGGACATGGGGACACAGGGGACACCACAGGGACACCAGGCCTGTCCCCAGCCGTGTCCCTTTGTCACTCACTGTTGATGCCCTCGGTGTTGGAGATGTTCCCGCTGCAGATGGCATCGTAGTACTGCTTGTTACTCATCAGCGTGTACATGCCCAGGATGGCTGTGGGGACATTGGGGACAGCGGGGTGACATCGGGGACACCGGGGACACAGGAGCCCGCTGTCCCCTCGGGGAGGTGGCACTGGGTCGGAGCTGCTTTAACTGAGGGGACACAGAGGGTGAGGGGGGACCGAGTGTGACCCTGTGGGACAAAGTGTGTGACACTGGGACAGGGTGACATGGGGACAGGTGTGTGACACTCAGGTGTGTGACTCTCAGGTGTGACTCTCAGGTGTGTGACACTCAGGTGTGTGACTCTCAGGTGTGACACTCAGGTGTGTGGCACTCAGGTGTGACACTCAGGTGTGACACTCAGGTGTGACACTCAGGTGTGCCGTGCTGTCCCCTCCCCGTGTGACACTCGGTGGCCCCTCGGGGGCAGCGTTACCCTCGGCCGAGGCCTTTCCTGGTGCTGATCCCGGCCCCGGGGGGATCCCAGCCTGCACAGAACGGCCTCGTTCCCATGGAAATCCCATCCCATGGAAATCCCAATTCCATCCCATGGATCCCAGCCCAGCCCAGCCCCATCAGATCCCGTTCCCATTCCCGTTCCTGATCCTATTCCCATTCCCAATCTCATTCTCATTCCCACCCCACACCCACTGGCAATGTCATAAATCCCGATCCCATTCCCATTCCCCAATCCCCATTCCCGATCCCGTTCCCCATCCCCATTCCCCATTCCCATTCCCAATCCCATTCCCCATTCCCCATTCCCAATCCCGTTCCCAGTCCCGTTCCCAGTCCCCACCCACCGGCGATGTCGCACATCTCGGCCTCGGTGGCGTTGGCCAGCGCCTCCTCCAGCTCCGGCTCCAGCGTCACCTGCTCCTCCCGCGGCAGCTCCGGCGCCACCGCCTTGGGGACAAACGGCTTCCCTGGGGACAGGGACAGGGACATGGGGACAGGGACATGGGGACAGGGACAGGGGACAAACGGCTTCCCTGGGGACAGGGACATGGGGATGTTGAGGCTGGCACTGCGGGGGGGTGACACTGCCAGGGGCTGTGACCATCCCCAGGGTGACACTGCCAGGGCTGGTGGCCGTGCCCGGGGCTGGCGGGGGCCCAGCTCGCCCAGGACACCCGAGCCGCTGGCGAGGCCGAGCTAAATATACCCGAGCCCGGGGGCCCGGTCCCCTCAGTGTCCCCAGCCTGTCCCCACACTGTCCCCAGGCCATCCCCACACTGTCTCCACTGTCCAAGGGTTTCCCCAGGTGTTCCCCCACTGTCCCCAGGTGTCCCCAGGTGTCCCCAGGTGTCCCCAGACCTTTTTTCTCGCCGGTGAAGGGCACGAGGTCCTGGCGCTCCTCGGCCTCCAGCGCCTGCCTCTCCAGGTGCTGCAGCAGCGCGTCCCTGTCCAGGGGTCCCGTTGGGCTCTTCTGGGTCTGGTCCCGCTGTCGCAGCCCCGCCGGCAGCAGCACGTTCTGGGGACAGCGCCCGTGTCACCTCCCGTGTCACCTCCCGCCGTGTCCCCAGGTGTCCCCGTGCCCACCTCGGGGTCCATCTCGGCCAGCTCGGCGTCCAGCTGGGCCAGCTCCTCCGGGGACAGCTCCTGCAGGATTTTGTCCTCGTCGATGTCGCGGTATTTCTCCAGCTCCTGCCGGTACGGCGTCATGGCCGCGGGGACCTGGGGACAGCGCGGTGGCACCGATGGGACAGCGGGACACGGGGGGACACGGGGGGACACGGGGGGACACGGGGGGTGGCACTGCTGGGGACAGCGGGGGGACATGGAGGGTCCCCTCTGCAGGGACAGCCTTGGGGACACCGAGCACACCCCCACCAAACGTGTCCCCAAATGTTGTCCCCAACCTTTGTCACCTCCCAGGGTCACACCCCGCTCTGTCCCCCCCAAATTCCCAAATCATCCGGGGGGAGGTGACAGGAGGGACAAAACGCGGTGCCCCCAAATGTCGTGACCCCACAAACGCCACTCTGCAGTGTCCCCAAATGTCGCGACCCCACAAACGCCACTCTGCGGTGTCCCCAAATGTCGTGACCCCACAAACGCCGCCCCGCGGTGTCCCCAGAGCGGGGGGTGGGGACACACCTGCCCCGCCCCACCCCCCTCGGAGCGTGGGAATTCCTTTGGGAAGCGGCTCCGGGATCCCCAAAATCCCAAAATTCGGAGGGGGGGAGGTGACACCGCCGCCACCGCCCTGGGGACAAGGCGGGGACAGCGCGGCCGTACCTGGGGCCGATCCCTAAAGCGGGGGGCGATCCCAAACGGCGGCGCTGATCCTAAAGCCGGGGGCGGATCCTAAAGCCGGTCCTAAAGGCGATCCCAAAAGCCGGGGCTGATCCCGGGGCCGATCCCGGAGCCGATCCCAAAGCTGCGGGGCCGCGCGGGGCATGAGATCAGCGCTTTATTCGGGCCGGGAGGGGCGGATCCCAAAGCCGGCCCTTATCGGGAACGGGGGGGCCCCGCCCCGGCCCCAAAACCCGCCGGGGGCAGAAGGGACAGCGGCTCCTGCCCCAATCCCATAAACCCTGCAAAGATCCCACCCCAAAACCGCCGGGATCCTTCCCAAATCCTATAAACCCTACAAAGCTCAAGGAGGGTTTGGCCCCACAAGCCCAAGATTCGGGGGGTGAAGGGATTTGGGGGGAACTGGGAATGAATTTTGCAGGGTCTTCTGGAAAAGGAGATCCCATAAAGTTTATTTTACGGTTTTCTGGGAAAAGGGGGATCCCATAAATCCCTTTGTTTATTGTAGGGTGTCGTGGGAAATAAAGGGTTAACGAGCCTTGTTTATTTTAGGATCTCCCTGGAAAAGGGGCTCCCACCCCAAATTTTTTGTAGGATTTCCTGGAAAAAGGGGATCCCACCTAAGTTTCCATAGGATCTCCATAAAAAGGAGCTCCCATTCCGTATTTTCTGTAGGATCTCCTGGAAAAGGGGCTCCAATCCCATATTTTTTGTAGGATTTCCATGAAAAGGGGCTCCCACTCCAAATTTTTTGTAGGATTTCCATGAAAAGGGGCTCCCACCCCACATTTTTATGGGATCTCACACCACCCCACACAAACCAAGCCCCAACTCTGCTTTATTCCCTCCCCAACAGCCCCTGTGAACAGTGACCCCCCCCAAAAAAACCATCACTCCCAATGATCCCCCATCCCTAAATCCTGGCACCCCAATATCCCAAAATCTTGGGATTTCAGGAGCTGGGAATGTTTTGATGATTTTGTGTCATTCTGGGTTGGGTCTTCTCAAAAAAATACAACCCCAAAACCTCAATATCCCGATATCCCAATATCCCCAAATCCCAAATCCCAGTGTCCCAAAATTCCAGGATTTCAGGCGGTGGGAACACTTTGCTTCTTGATGATTTTCTGCCGTTTTGGATGGGAGCCACTCAGCAAATCCATCGCTGTGGATGACGCCATCTCCCAATATTCCAACACCCAACACCCCAACACCCCAAACCCCAAATCCCAGGATTTCAGGCGCTGGGCACGCTCTGTTTGATGACGATTTTCTGCCATTTTAGACGGGAACCACTGAACAAATCCATCGCTGTGGATGACTCCATCTCCCAATATCCCAATACCCCAACACCCCAATAACCCAAACACCCCAAATCAGGGACGTCAGGCGCTGGGCACGCTCTGTTTGATGACGATTTTCTGCCATTTTAGACGGGAACCACTGAACAAATCCATCGCCGTGGATGACTCCATCTCCCAATATCCCAATACCCCAACACCCCAATAACCCAAATACCCCAAATCCCAGGATTTCAGGCGCTGGGCACGCTCTGTTTGATGACGATTTTCTGTCGGCCCGGGCGCGGGCCGGGGCCGTCGGCGGGCGCGGCCATGGCGGCGGCGGCGCTGGGCAGCCCGTGCGCCGTGATGTATTTCCTGTAGGCCTCGCGGATGATGCGGAAGGCGCGGGCGTTGGAGTAGGGGATGTCGGTGATGGGGTCCCGGTACAGGGCGGGCTTGTGGGTGACGGGACACAGCTCCCGCACCGGCAAACGCGGCGCCTTGCACTTGGGGAAGCAGCGCTCGAAGGTGGCGTCGTCGCTGAAGGAGATGAAGGTGCGGGAGCATTTCCCCGGGGACGGGGGGGAGCCTGTGGGGTGCGAGTCGGGGTCCAGCCTGGAACGGGACACGGAGAAGGGGGGTGGCATGGTGGGACACGTATAGGTGTGCATCGGGGTTTGGGGTGCCCAGAAACTGACACTCCCCAGGGGTTTGGGGTCTCACAAACTGTGAATCTAACGGGGTTTGGGGTGCCCAAAAACTGCACCTTCAATGGGGTTTGGGGTCTCACAAACTGTGAATCTAATGGGGTTTGACGTGCCCAAAAACTGCCACTCCAATGGGGTTTGACGTGCCCAAAAACTGCAACTCCAATGGGGGTTGGCGTGCTATGGTGGTGCCCAAAACCTGTTTTTCCCATGGGATTTGGGATTGCCAAGGTGGTGCCCAAAAACTGCTACTCCCAAGGGGCTTGGGGTGCCAAGGTGGTGCCCTACACCTGTTTTTCCCATGGGATTTTGGTGCTCCAAGGTGCTTTTCCCTCCTCAGATTGAAAAGGAAACCAAAGGGAAATCTCCAGTTTGGGATCCAGCCCCCAAAACCGGAATTTTGGGATTGGGGCGCTGCCCAACCCCTGTGGAGCAGCTGCAGGGGACCATCCAGGCTGGGATTTGGGATTTTGGAGGCGCTCACCCCTCGACGTCCACGGGGTCGTCGCGGCCGGGCTCGGGCAGCAGGGGCATGGTGAGGGACCAGTAGCGGATCACGGGGCCCACGATCTTCCTCTTCTTCTGCACCTGCTTCTTCTTGTCGGCCTCCAGGCGCTCGTAGTTCTCTGGGATTGGGGGGCGGGAATGGGGTTGGGAATGGGGTTGGGAATGGGGGCAGGAATGGGGCAGGGAATGGCTCATCCCAGCATGGCCACGTTTCAGGGGTGCCAGGTCTGGTCCTGGGATCCCTGTGTCATTCCTGGGATCCTTATGACATTCCTGGGAACCCTGTGACATTCCTGGGATCCCTGTGCCATTCCTGGGATCCCTCTGCCATTCCTGGGATCCTTATGACATTCCTGGGAACCCTATGACATTCCTGGGATCCCTGCGACAGTCTTGGCATCCTTGTGCCATTCCTGGGATCCCTATGACATTCCTGGGATCCCTGTGACATTCCTGGGAACCCTGAGCTGTTCCCAGTGACATTCCCTGTCCCGTTCCTGCTGCCCTGGTGCCATTCCTGAGGTCCCTGTCTCATTCCCAGTCCCATTCCCGGTGTCCCTGTCCCATTCCCATTCCCAGTATCCCAATCCCATTCCACTCACCCAGGGAGCGCAGGTTGATCTCCTCAGTGATCTTGGCCTCCTCCAGCAGCTCCTCCTGGGTCAGGGGCCGCTCGTAGCTGGTGCCTCCCTTTTTCCTCTTGGATTGCACCTGGCGCTCCTGGAGCCGCAGGAACGTCTGCCGGGTGTGCTCCGTGGTGGACTGACGCATGTGCTTCCTGCCTGGAGGGACACTGCATCAGCCCTGGGATCACTGGATCACCCTGAGATCCCTGAGATCCCATTCCCAGCCCCTGGAGAACCAGGAGCTCTCCCATGGGATCCCATTTCCAGCTGGGATCACCCAGACCCTGCTCCCACCCCATCCCCACCCCACACTCACTGTCTCCCCCATCCTCCTGCAGCTCCAAGGGCACGGATTTCACCTCCCTACTTTTCTGGGATCCTCCCCGCGGCCCCTCCGCCTTCTTGGCCCGGAGGCTCTTGAGCGGCTCCTGAAGGACAAAGCACATAATTACAAAAACAAAACCCCAAACCGATGGTCTCGGGGCCGTTTTTCCGCAGGAAAAGCCGCCCGGGGGGTGTCTGGGTACCCGGTAGGCCTTGGTGAGGACGCGGCGGCGGCGCCGGGGCTCGGCCTCGTCCTGCTCCGAGCCCGGCTCGTCGCCCTCGTCGATGTCGAAGTCCGAGTCCACCTCGTCATCGCTGTCCGAGTGCTCCCCGCGGTACTCGTCGTCCCCCGATTCCTGTGGGGATGTTGGGAATGTTGGGAATGTGGGGTTGGGAGCGATGGAACCCCACTGAGGGAGCCCCACGGGACTCGCTGTCCCCAGATTCCTGTGGGACACAGGCATGGATGCCCATGGAACATCCCAGCCTTCTGAGGGGCTCCCATGGACCCGTTATTCCTGGATTCC